GTTATGAAAATGGAATTGGAGTTGAAAAGGATGAACATAAGGCATTCATTTATTATCAAAAATCTGCTGATATGGGTCATGTTAATGGAATATTTGCACTAGGTAACTGTTATAACGATGGAATTGGAGTTGAAAAGGATAACAATAAAGCATTCATTTATTATCAAAAATCGGCTGATATGGGTCATACTGGTGGAATGACTAGTCTCGCTCATTGTTATATAAATGGAATCGGAATTGAAAAGGATGAATATAAGGCATTCATTTATGATCAAAAATCTGCTGATATGGGGGATGCACAAGGAATATATAATGTTGGTTATTGTTATAAAAATGGAGTTGGAGTTGAAAAGGATGAACATAAGGCATTCATTTATTATCAAAAATCGGCTGATATGGGACATACTGTTGGAATGAATAATCTCGGTAATTGTTATCGTGATGGAGCCGGAGTCGAAAAGGATGAATACAAAGCGTTTGAATGCTATAAAAAGGCTGCTAGTATGAATGATTTTCGTGGAATAAGTAATCTCAGTTATTGTTATCGAAATGGATCCGGAGTACAAAGAGATATTCAAAGAGCCAATCATTGGTATCGAAAAGAAAGAAGTCTTAAAAAAAATCAATAAATCTTCATGTGAAGATATCGATAATAATCTTAAAAAAATATTGAATAATGAAAATTATAAATTATCATGGATTTATTACGTTGAATTTGAAAATATACGAGAAATAGGAAAAGGTGGTTTCGCTACCGTATTTTATGCGAATTGGCTTAATAAAAATGATAATATTTATAAAATAGTTGCACTTAAACTCATTCACGGTTCGAACAAAGATGTTAAAATTTTTGTTCAAGAATTGAAGAATTATTGCGATATAGGTTACGAAAATCCATCATTTTTAGGATGTTATGGTGTATCAAGAGATGATACAACTAAAGATTATATCATTGTTTTGGATTACGCAGATAAAGGTTCATTACGTCAGAACCTTGAATCTGTGTCTCAATTAGGATGGAAAGACAAATTAAATCTGGTGTACTGTATTGCTTCAGATCTTGAATCCATACATTCTCAAGAACTTGTACATCAAGATTTACATAATGGTAATATCTTGCAAGAAAATTTATATAGCGCGTACATCACAGATCTAGGACTTTCTTCCAAAAATAAAAATGAAGGAATGATTTGTGGTGTTTTGCCTTATATTGCACCTGAAGTCTTAATGGGTAAACTATTCACACAGGCAGCTGATATTTACAGTCTTGGAATTATCATGATAGAAATATCAACTAGAAAAAGAGCCTCCGACGGTGAACATTTAATTCCCGACTTGGAATCAAAATTTGTGACGAAAAAAATCCTTTAAGGCCAGAATTTGCATCAGGAACTCCAGATTGTTACATTAAATTAACTAAAAGATGCATAGACAAAGATCCGAGTAAAAGACCTACTGCAACTGTAATTAGTAGTAAAATCTTTCATTGGTTAGACGAGATAGAACAAGATGATAATAATGAGATTAAAAAACAATTCTTAAAAGCTGACAAAATTAAACCAAAATTAATCGAGCCAAAACATCCGAATCAAATATATACTAGCAAACTAATAGATATAACTCAAATCACTGAAGGATTATTAGATAATATAGATATAATAAATTAACTTATCAACTGTGGTAATACACTGTTTATCTTTTTATACTCTCATTTGCTTTTGTGGCCTTTAGAAATTTATGATATATAGGCCACGATTTGTGATTAAACCACAAAATTTAGAGGTGGATTATTGGTACTTAGATTATCTATAAATTATTATAGGTCGTCTCATCACTTCTGATACATCGAATATGTATAATACAAGTTGATAAAATATATAACTAATATCCAAATTAATTAGTATCAAAAGAAAGCAATACTTATCGGAAAAAAAATATCTTAATGTAAGGTCACAAAAATGTATATGTCACAAACTAGCTATATGCGCTATATTACCAATTTACAGAATTTCAAAGAGCGATTGTACATATCCGAACCAAAACTTTCCTATATATAAAAGTTTTTTTTTTATTATGCGAATTGTAGTTTTCTTAGTAAGAAAAAATATTCCTGGTAACGTTTTACATATGCGCTAGGGTTTTTAAGAAATTTGAAAAACATTTTAATAATACGATTAGTAGCTCAAAAATCTTTAAAATAAATAATTTAATTTTTTTAATAAAATATTCAAAATTCAAAATAAATAAAACAACACTAATAAATCTCACCTAAGCTATTAGACAAACTTGTTCTCCATAGTCGAAAATATAACATATTAAAATTTTATGCCGATATGTAAAAATTTTTCTCATAAAATTTCTAAATTAGTAAACAAATTAAAAAAAAAAAAGTGCGAGAAATTTATTTAAAATTTACAACTATGATTCGCCTAAATAATTTCCAAAGTTAATGAGAAAAATTTTTATGTATCGTTATGAAAAATTTATACTAAATATTATCGACCATGGAGAACAAGTTTACTTAATACTTATTGCACGGTTAACAATAGGGATTTTTTGATATTTAACGTTAAACTTTTTTTTATTTTTTTTTTAAACCCGTAAAATTTTTTTAACTCTTATTTAGAATGTAGAACGCATTAGTAAAATATTTTCTAATTTTCTTTAAAATTATATCATAGGCGTAAAAGACCACAACAAACATTTTTACTTATGCATAAAACGACGATTTACATAACAAAAAAAAAACTTTTATTATGTATCAAATTCATTGCACGGGGTAGGTACAATAGATCATCATTTAAAGGGGTATTTAATCTACACTTTCCTCATTAAGGTTTTCGTCTCCTGAATACAAGTCTACATCTTCATCTTCACTCTCGTCATTTATTCCATCATTGACCATTTCCCAATAGTTTCTCGCCTTACCTAAACATTTTTTCCAGCATGAAACAACCACATCCGATTTTATTTTCTCCTGAAAGGAACTAAGTAAGATATTCCAAAGAGAAAGAATATCTGGCTGCTTTCGCCCCTCTGCAACTTTATTTTTTACAATTCTCTATACTATCTCAATTGGTTGTAGCTCACAATGATATGAGGTGTAAAAAGAAGTCGATGACCAAACTTATTTGCAATAGTGACAGTAGTGAAAGGGATGGATTTTTTCTCTTTTTTCGTCAATTCATATAGTTTCACTTTTGTCATTCTAGAGTCAAAATCGATATTGTGGGATTCTAACCACTCCTTTATCACAGGTTTATTCCAATTAGAAGTTGGTGCAGCTTCAGAGTGACGTTTATAGTATTTTGCCCCATCCATATAGATAACGCATGGTCCATAATCATTGCTAAGATTTTCACAAAGATTCTCAAAAATTCTTTCAAATACTTCTGCATTAAAATTCCCATGATAATCCACTTTATCTGGAACAATACCGGCCATTTTCACCGCATCCAGAACTGTCTCCCACGCTTTTGCATTCTTTTTTTTTCTTCCTTTCCCAGTAGGTCGCTTTGCAGTAGGGTCCCAAATAAGAAAGGATTTATGAATGAACTCTTCTTCTACTTTATTGCTATTTCCATTATGAAAAACGATGATGGCTCCAAATATAACTAACATACGACCTCTTTCACTTTTATACACCACACCATCCTTAGGAACCTAGGTCAAATTGCGATTATGATACATATGGCAATACGATTCATCGAGGAAAACTTCTGGGAGAGTTGGTACATCGTTTTGTCCTTGAATATTTTCAAATCGCCAACGAAGATATTGTGCCTGATACAAAACATTTTGAGGAGCCTCATAGAGGATATTTAGTCATTCCCCCTTGCCATAATGATAACCAAGCTTTTTCAAGTGACGTGCGAGTTGTGCTTTTGAAATTACAAAGCCTAATTCAGATAATTCAAAGACTATGGATTGAAGGGTAAGAGGAAGACCGTCTCTATTTGCAGAGAGAATTAAATCATGAACTGCATTAACATATTCTGCGTGAAAATCTTTGGGAGCTCAGTGACCTTGTTCTGATGATGTAACCTTTCCAGTTTTATTGAATTCAGCAACGACATGGGCAACAGTTGCTTCACCTACCTCTGTTGCTATAGAAACTTCTTTACGAAGGTTAGTGGCTTTCTTTGACTGTTCGTCGGTTATTTTTATTTCATCGGTCATTTTCATTTTTTCTTGAATATAGTTATGAACGGATAAGATCATCTTCTTTTCATTAACAGTTAGAGCGATTTGAGTACGTTTGATTTGGTCCATAATAAATTTATCAATTGCAGTGATGTAAATGTAGGGTTAGAATTTTTACAGAATTTATGGTGTATTCATGGTGTATATATATAATTATGCATTACGCGATTATTGCAGCTTACATCAATCCTTTCAGATTATACTATTTCGTCTAAATTTAGTTAGCTAAAGAAAGTTGTACGTTAAAAAAACAAAAAAAAAAAAAAAAACAAAAAAAAAAAAAAACAAAAAAAAAAAAAAGAAGAGACCTTTAACTCCTGCAATCCTATATTTTTGTAGTAAATTCGATTATATATACCTAGGTTATAAGCATAGTGTATTTTTAATAACTGCGCCCTACATATTATGAAATATAATATCAGAGGTAAATTAGTAAAAGCGAGTAAAAAAAATTGAGTTTGTTTTATAAAACAAATATAACTTACATTTATTATTTTTTTATCATTTTTATGGCATTTTTTTTTATTTTAGCTTATAAACTACATTAATAAATATACCCTTCTACTTAAATATTCTGGGTATAAATTCAAACCATTGTAAATATTTAGTTACTTCGTATTCCGTTCCTGGTATAAGAATAAATAAATTAAAAAGTAGCCAAAACAGATTTTAATACCATAAAAACTTTCTGTAGTAGCCTAAATAAAGTTATTCGTCTGGTTTTTGTCATTCTAACAAGGGTAAGATAATTAAATTTGGCCTGGTGGATCGATCGTAATAGCGCCTCAAACTTTAGGCAAGATTAATTATATGATTACCAAACTTTGCAGATCATTTAGATTCTTTAATAAACACTGCATAAAAATCGGACTAACTTTGAGGAGCCATTGTGAACTATCCACTGGGTCAAATTTAATTATCTCACCATCTTTAGAACTGCAAAATCTAGAGGAATAACTTTTACTAAAACGCTTTAAGAGGTTTAAATAATATTAAAAACCTCTTTTGAACCTCTTTTGAGTTTTTTTGATCATGTGACCATCGATTTTGACTTTATATTTTCTGTTTGTACGAGTCTATTGGAATAATTCAGTATGAAAAATTCCAATTTAAACTGCTTTCGTAATAGCTCCTATTTCCATATTACTAAAAATGCTTAATTTTTTAAAAAAAAATTATATTTTATCGCTATAGTCTTTGATAAAGTAATTGCTATTATATTATCCTTGATAATTAAAGAAATTATTGATTATATTTTTGTACGTTTAAAACACTTTCTCATATAAGCAACTAAGGGGATTATTAGTCACGTTTTCGCCTATGATGGTGAGCTATACGCTTGCGTAGTAGCACCATATGATGATGTTTTCTGATCGACATTACATAGTAATGAATGAAAATATTACACATATTATTGATTTTTTAACTGTTAGTAGGGTAACTTCGAGTGGCTGGTTCTCATCAATGAGAAGTCATAATAATTTACTCTTTTTTTTATTTAAAAGCTTAAAACCTGAGGATTATTGTCAATAAATTTTATAGGGGGTTATAAATAAAAATTTAGATCTATGCTATTTTAAATCAAATGTATCATGCTCATGTATCATGCTTAATGAGACTACCAATATTTATTATGTCTTGAAACTATGCAATGGTGTCTAAAATATGGTTGATTTACTACAAATGGCATGGCAAATATTTTTGCCATGGTGTTTCAAAAATGCTAGTGGCGAAACGTTTTCCGTTGGCAAAACTATTTTTGTATTTTCTTCTGCTGAAATTATTTTCGTGCCTGATTACTATTATTAAAATGTTAATTCAACGTCACCCAACACTCTCAATAAACAAAAAAATTCAATCACAAGTATTAAATATATATTTTGATGTATTAGTAGAGTGTTTTGTTTGTCTTTGGAAGAAATTTTGTTTTTTTCAAAATCTTTAATGTCGTTCACCATTTTTTAAATAGGCTTAATTACGGGGGGTGCTTAATTACGGGGTGCTTATTTTTGATATATGCATGAATGCAGGGGTGCTAAATTTCGGGGGATACTTAATTTCGGAAGTATACGATAATTCCATTCGACGTTTGACAGTAACAGTAATATTGAAGAAATAGGAAAAAAAATTTCATACTATGAATAACCTGAGGTGACACAGGGCTTACATTTTGTACCGGGTCCAAAATCTCTATATTAAAATATATTGGGTTTTGTCCATCGCCAGTAATAAGCCTATCAAAGATTCGGATGAAGTTTAAATGATTAGTTTATAGACGTAACATGCATTGTAACTCTAATAATGACTTTTATATCATTCCGATGGAAAATAACGATAGCGATATATCACTACAGCGATAAATTATAAACCGAAATTTTAATTGTTTTTGAAAATTACAACAATAAATATAGACTCAATTACGTGATAAGAATTATGTAATACAATAATATTAGGACTGGCGAAATATTGTCACTGTGATAAAAAATAAAATTCTTAACAAACCTATATACTTATAATCATTATGTTTTTAATAAAATTTTTAAAATTTATTTTAATAATGGAAATACAGTATTATAAAAAAAAAATTATTTAAAGAAAGAAAAGAAAAAAAAAAAATGATCCAAAATTATAATAATTTACAAATAATAAAGTACAACAACAAAAAAAAAAAAAAAAAAAAAAAAAAAGAAAGGTAATTAAAATCTAGGTATTATCAGTTTGTTGTACAAAACTTAAAATATCATTATCTGATTGAATCATTTCAACTTGTATATTAGGAGGTATTATTTTTGAAAGTAATTTTTGATTTTTTAATTCTTCTTTTCTAAATTTTTTCTTTGTTATTCTGTCATTAGCTCTTATTTGTCTAACAATATCTAAATCATCAGGATACCACCATTGTTTAACAAAAGTTATTACAAATCGTGGTAAACCAGCTAATAAAATTGCAAATGCCATACCAAACCAAAATATACCTTCACTAAATAATTGTTCACATATACCATATATTGGACTTTCAGTAAAAAGACCATAAATTAGAACATAAGCAAAAAGAAAAACCAATTCACAAGTTATTATTGTCCATAATATCCAATTCCAATAATATGTGTTAAAACAAACAAATAAATTTGCTATAACTATTGCGGTTATAGCAACAGAAGTTGAAAATTCGATACTACCAGAATCATATCCTTGAGATGTAGTAACATTAGTAGATAATGAAAATATAAAATGAAATGTATAATATATAACCAATGATTGCCATATTCCATCAAGAAAATATATTACAAATAATTTTTTAGAATAACGCATTTTTCTTATTCCCAAGCTATAAATGCTTGGATATTTCAGGCAATATTTAGCACTAACAGATTGATCCATTGTCCCTTTAAAAATAATATAGTTAGGAAAAATTACGTGTATTTAAAGTGAGTCAAACAATAAAACAGACATTAATGAAAATACCTAAAACTACTATAGGAGCGACCGTAAATATCATATTATATAATTGTACAAAACTGTAGTCGTAGAAAATATTAGCGGAGAACCTAAATGCAGAAAATTATCATTTGTGAGTAACTTATAAGCGTATATATATATATATATCGAATATGCAAACATGTATATAAAAATACTTACAAACAATATATTTGGTACCATAATACCGGAAATACCCATATTACGTTTTTATAAAAGAAATTTAATATCATCTCCGCAATGCGCATATAATCCCAATGACCGTGTACAAGTAAAAGTTTTTTAAGATATCGAAATTGTGTAATATTATAATCAGCGGCCATTGCAGCTTGTACTCCTATATGTTTAGAGAAATGGATTTTAAGAATATTTTAAAATTATTAAACCTTATATGTTATGTTCAAAAAAATCTTACCTTCTTGTCCAGAGATACCAACACCGACATTAGCGGCTTGAATCATACTAACATCATTTGCACCATCACCTATGGCTAATGTTGTGGAAAATTTTCCTGTTCGTACTAATTCGACCACCAGGGCCTTTTGTAAAGGACTAACACGACAGCATATTACAGAATGAAAATGTTCAGACAATTCAAGAATTTGTTGGCGTGCTTTAGGATCGTCCAATAGGTGAGACAAAGCCGAGCCATCAACAATAAAAGCATGTATATCATCAGGTTGTACGGGATCCGCTCCGTCTTGTAACTCAATATCACCAGATATTAAATGTGCATATACACTATTAAGTTGTTTTGCGACCATATCTTTTTTCGAACCTTTTACAATCCAAAGTCTCATTTCTTTTGTCAATAATTGAGCGGCAAATCCAATATTAATTGCTGTTTCTAATTTATCACCCGTCAGGACCCAAATTTTAATTCCAGCCTTTCGAAGGCATGCTATACAGTCAGGAACACCTTCTTGAAGTTTATCTTCAATTGCAGTTGCACCTAAAAGTATAAGATCTCTTTCTATTTCATCGGCACAAGCATCAATTTTAGAAGAACGTTCATTAATGGCGGTCGAAGCTTCTTGATATTTTGTTGCCCAAGATTGATAATATGATTCATCCAATACACTATATGCCAAAGTTAGTGTTCTAAGGCCTTAAGAATGATAAATAACATTACGATTGAATTAAATTTGTATAAGCCAATGGATCGTTTTAATTTAAACCTACCATCATTAGAAAAATTCTCAATATCAACAGTAGTTTTTTCAATTAATTGTTCTTGACCACTGGCTAGACGTTCAAATATAACATTATCTGCTCCTTTACAGAATAATATTATACCACCACCCAATTCTTTAGGACGACGAACTATTATACTCATTCTTTTACGTGAAGAATTAAATTCCAGTACATTTAATATATCAAAAACGTATTCTTGACCAAAAATATCAATAGTCATTGATTCAGCTGTTCGACCTAAGAAGGCGAATCCAACATTTTTTGCAGCTGAAACCAAAGCAGCCTCGTCAGGAGATTCAGCTTTATACACAAGGTTATGTTTCACTGTTTTATCAAATATTTCTTGTTTTTTTCCTTTAGGAGCCATTAAACTTGACATTGGATCGAGTCCTTTAAAAGAAGACTTGAGATTCGTAAACGAATGTTTAACTTTTTTTAGAGTAACATCAAAAGTTGAATGATTTGGTGAAACTTTTTCTTCTTCTATTGGGTATAAATTAGACTCGCTTGTCTGATCTGAATGCACACCATTTGCAGATGTTTTGCTTTTATCACTACTACTCGTAGTACTATCACTTTCATCAGTAATTGTATCTACAACTACTGTATGACATACTGCTAATAATGTGAAAAACTCTTTAACAAGTTGAGCTCTTTTTTGATTATCGATACTATCATCGTTATTAAATTCCACATTATAATCTTCATTTTCATCAATAGATTTCCCCTCACGTAAATCTCTAAATATTTCTGGATCTACAAATGTTAAAAAATCCGAATTTGTACTTGAATATTTTGGATCAAATAAATTTTTCATTTCATTCATATATTGTTTCCAAATTTCATTTTTATCCATATAATTAATTTCATTATCATCAGGTTTATCATTGTTTGTGGCTATTTCTCTTCCAATATTAGCATCTGTTTTACCAGCCCAACCATTTCGACCATATATTTTACCACCAATAGAACATTGACGGAATTCCATTATATTACGTGTTAATGTACCAGTTTTATCAGAAAATATATATTCAATTTGACCAAGATCATCGGAAAGATTCCACTATTGAATTATTAAAAAGTTGAAATATGTAAATATTTTATTAGGTAATTAAATCGAAAAATCCGAATAATAATATAATTTTATATATAAATTATCTATTATTAATAAATTATCAAATTAATCACTCACTGATTTTGGGACACATGGAATCTCAGCATCTTCATCCCACATATCAAGGTCATTGTAAATAAAAAAGGCCTATTCGAAAAAAATAAAATAAAAAATAAAAATTGGAAATAAATTTATATTTTCGAACAATAGGGATAAAATTTAACAAAAAATCATTACATATTTCACGAAACATACCTGAAACCCTTTCACAAATTCGATCGAAATATATAAAGAAATCGGAATTATGTTTTGAAAAATAATCAGACCTGATCTATTATAATAAATATATCGGTTATTACAAAAAAAAAAAAATCGAATAAATATATTCCGAGTAAATTACAAAAATTATAAAAAAAACTTACAAAAAAGTTAGGAAAGAAGCAAGTCCAATTGACCTAATTCCGATACCATCAACACGTTGTTGAATACCTTCACCCCTTATATTAGCCAAAAGTTCCGTTGAAACACCAGTTCCGATAGCACAAATTAAAGCAAGAATGATGAGAACCATAAAATTTAATATGACCTAATATATATCAATAGGGATAAGAAAAAAAAAAAACGATCAAACGATGTAATATAAAGTTATTACAAAACTAGGAGCAATAAATAAGCAAACCAACCCTTTCAAATGCTTAAGTATAAACGTACTTCCTGATTCATTTCTTTTTCTATTCTACTTCTTTTACTCGGAGTTTCACCAGAATTAAGCATAATTTTAGTATCGATACCGGTAAAAACAGTTATAGCAATAACCCATTCAGTATTTCTAATAACATGAGCACGTAATAATAAATTATTTATATCAACAGGAATAGCCATTTTCGACTTTAATATAGGATTATTTAAATTTCTTTCAGATGAATCATTAATAAAATCTTGATCTTGTAATGGAACATCTCTTTCAGATAAACCAGTAACAACAGTTAATTTTGCATTATAAGTGAATAAATTAGAATTTGGAGCTTCAGAATCAATCCAAAACATAGATTTAGAACAATCTTCAGGAAATTTGATATTTTTTAAAATATCATTAGGAATACATCTACGTGGTTTAAGATTAGTTTCACCATCAAGATCTTTTGTTTCAACGAAACAAGTACCATTTTGTTCAGAAGTAGATAAAATTATAGCATCAGCAGGTACAGCGTCACCATTTTTTAAATATAAAAAATCACCAACTCTAACATTCTTCCACATAACCTTTTTTAAATTTAGGAGGACCATTTACATCATTTGAAGGTTCAGAAGGAATTTCATCATCAGAATTTTCAATAGGTTTTTTTGAATTATTCCAATTAAAAAAAAGGTTTATTCTAAGTAAGAATTTTTTCCAAAAAGAAAGTTTTTTCTGACTAGGATAATTTACATTAACAAAATTTTGTAAAAGATAACAAGTAGCACTATTATATTTATCATCAATTTGATGACGATTCATATCTTCAACGGCGTCTTTACATGCGGTAAGAAAAACAACAGTTGAAAGAGGGAGTAAAGTCAAAACAGGGGAATTTGTACTCACAGCTGGTATCATTCCAAGAATAGCCATGAATAAAAAATACATATTGGCAGCTCTACGGAATTGTTCAAATAAATTTTTTGGTAAAAAAGTCCATATAGTATACTTTGATGTGATAATCTTATTTGAGACATATTTCCCCTTTGGTTGACGTTCAGGTAAAGGTATGTTGGCAACGATACGACGTTCTTTACAAATAGGTATTCTATATTTTATTTTTGATTTTGCTCTTTTTAACTGTTTATTTCGTGGATCGTTAACACCGTTTTCACTACTTGTTGCACTTCTTTCGCTTACTGCTTCTTGTGTAGGAGGCAGCGAAAAATTTGTCGGGGACGTCATTATAACGACGAAAGAAAGACAAAGAAATAGCGAAAGAGTGGCTTAAAAAAAAAAAAAATGATATGACCGAAGTAGCAGTTTGTACTTCGTTTGTAATGAATTTTTTGTAATGAATTTTTGTAAATGAGAATTACTCTTGTAGGACAAAAACAAATTTAGTTTTTAGGGACTAATGCATTTTTGATTATTAAGGGGTGAATTTCTATTTAGAATGTACTTTTAGTTTTAAACAATGTAATTAGAAAATGATTCATTAAGATGTTTCTAAAAATAAATACCGGTATAAATTTTTTTAAAACATTCACTATGAATTTCCTTCTTTAGAATTATACTAATAATATTTTTTTTTACGTATTAAATATTGACATAATTCATCGATCGAAAAAAATAAAATTCATTTTTCTACAACCAATAAGAGGGTAATTTTGGATTTATATTATACCGATAACTTGGGAAACGAACCTAAAGAATAATGTAAATTTCACTAAATTAGAATGTAATAGAACGAATTCTCCTTACTTCGATTACGTATTTTGATATTGATGTGTGAGAGAATAAAATGAAAAACGAAATTAGCCTAAATAAGTTTAACGTTGATATTTACAGTACAGTACATACCCAGCGAATTTGCATCGTTACTTAGCGTTACTTAACGTTAGGCTTAGAATTTACGTAAAGTTTTGCAAATATAATTTTAACTTTAAAGTTTTTATATTACGCTACACTAAAGTTGTAAAATTTTATTTTCTGGGAAATATTGGTAGAATATCGGTCACACATTGAACCTTGGAACCACCTGTAAACGTAATTTGTGCTAACGATCTTCAAAATTTTCAATTTGGGCTCCATGGTAAACAATTTATTCAGGAGTATTTTTTATTACTTAATGGGCGATGATTTCATTTAGTCGGTATTATGTTCTTTCGGGATTTTGTGGTAGAACCTTAATAATTCACTCAATAAATTTATATTTATAAATGCTTAATATTATTGATTACTAGAAAAAATATATTATTGAACTTTTAATTCTACAAAATAACCTAATTTGTAAAAATCGGTGTTGTAATTTTAAACTTTATATCATATTACATTTGATTAGAGATGGGCAAAGTCAGTTACATATTATTACTTAATATTACTTAATATTACTGTGAAATAGGTAATAATAAGTAATTTTATAATAATTTGATTCTTTTAGCAGCAATTTTTTGTTCAATCTCAATTTTGATCATTTGCCTCCGACTGTTATCATGTGTTTTCTATGTATACATAATAAGTAATAGAATGTAATAAATATTTAATATTATTTAATATTAAGTAAGGGATAAGTCATAGGTCATTATTACTTACAAAATTACTTTGCCCATCTCTACATTTGATTCAATTTCAGAATATTATTTATTTATTGCACGGGTCTTATGTGATAACCCGTGTTTTTTCATTTACGTCAGACACCGTGCAATAAGATAGTTATTGTAAGGAGTTCATATTTAAATCCCGTGCCTTCGGAAATATGAACCCGTGTGTAATTAGGTTATTCACTACATACCCATACTAATACAATCAGTCAGTGTTGTACAGGCGTGGACAAAGATATCAGCAAAGTATGGACATGTTACACGAAATAAAATGTAAATAACTCGAAAATTTATTATGACAATTTAACTTTAAGCATTATATAATCATATGTTTTTAATAATATAAACTAAGTTATAACATGCATAAATATTCATTGACATTCGTGGACATTTATAGACATGGATATGAACAAGCCAAAAAAATTCTGTGGACATAGTAACGTGAAACACTGTTATACGTACAATAACTAAATTATTTAATGCATATGTTGTAGATTCGAAATCAAGTTGATTTCGAATCTTAGAATGACTTAGCAAAATATAACAACCCTAAGAAGAAAATTTTTTTATTTTCGAAAAAGTTTTTCTCAATTTAGTCAATATTGAAAGAGCATCTTTTAAAAAATGTCACAAACCGTCTATGATCTTATTATATTGCAATTACTGTAGTTGTCATTGATCTGAATTAGTACCTCGCGTGAGATAACAAAATTCTTACACCCGCAACTTCATGCACCTTGCGCAAGGTGATGTCAACCTTGCGTGAAGTAAAATTATTCGATTAAGATAATTTTAATAATCAGTGAGTTATCAATTTAATAGTCTTTTTATTAATTAAATAATATTAAATAACTACGATCTTTGTTATGTCATATTATTAATAAATTTTTTACATGGCTCACATAAAATCGCGCAAAATCACGCAATGTAAATTTGCGTGAGGTTGTGAGTATATGCTAGTTTGACCTCGCGCGAGGTACATCTCTAATCTGAATGTTCAAATTTTAAGAATTCAGAACAAAAGTTGATTACAGGAAAGTGTCGGTCTTGCGATCATTATCCGTTATTTCAATTAAAATGCAGTCTATGATATCAAAAAAACTCGATATATATTGATTAAAAATATTTCTATACCAAAATTTTGCTCCTGAATTTCTAAAACATCTAAGTAAAATTTCGAGATAGAAATTTTTTTCGAAAAGTTTTTTTTTGTTTTGCATTACACGGTGAGATCACGAGACCTACATTTTTGATCTTAAAATAAGCTGTAGATCGGCAATTACCCCTCTGTGTTTAAAATTGGCATATAACGATAAATATTGCAGTGCATTTTTAAATTTCTACTTAATAAATTCTTTAACTTGTACAGGTAAAAAAAAAAAAAAAAAAAAAAAAAAAATTGTACTATATATACAAATGATATTATTCTGAAACTTGACCCGCAGTGTAGTGTAACAGAGTTTACTCCTAGGATCGTGGGGCTGAAATTACACCGACTAAATGAAATCATCGCCCATTAAGTAATAAAAAATACTCCTGAATAAATTGTTTACCATGGAGCCCAAATT